TGGACATTACTACTTATCTACTATAGGGGTGACTTATTCCAAATAGACAGACTTGGGAAGGTCAGACCGGACTCCACAGTGACAGCAGGACAAACATAGAGGCTCAGCGTCAAAGTCCCTGGAGCGGAAAATATCCCAGGCTTCATCATTTTCCAACAAAAAAATCACCATCGAGGTTGGGGAGGACATGTCCTATCTTTGGACTCTTTAGCCCTATCCTAGGACCCTATCGTGAAAGAAAACGAAGGTCTCAATCACGATCATTTAAAAAAACATTTTTTGTAAAAAAAAAAAACTCACCTTTTAAAAAAAAGGGTTGGAGGTTTGGAAGTAACCGGACTCAACTCCGCTTTTCATGCAGACTTACAGCTGCCTTCAACAGGTCAGGGACCCTACTCCAAATCGTAGAAACCAGACAGAACCCTAAGTGGAGTTTTTTTTTTTTTTTTCAGTGGAAAAATGCCCTTGTAATACAAAGCTCCTTATTCGTGCACAGGTGAATGATCCCCCTAAAACGGGGTATAGACTCAAAATGACACTGGCAAACCAAAATGCAAAAAAGGAAACTTATATTCAACTTGAACACTGGCAAAGCAAAAATGGCCCCAACAATTTCCTCTCCAGGCCTTTTATTACCTCTTATTACTCGAAAAAAACATTAGCGGAAATGACATATTTATAATTGACAATTTGACTTATTGACTTATCAAGACAGAAAGGCAACTTCTCAAACATTCTGTGACTAAAATTTCTGACCAATCAGATGTTTAGAATCAGAAACCATCACTAGAAATTGCACGGTTGCACCATGAAAATGGTATCGAATCTCGAAGTCTTCAGCCAATTCATACTTGTAATATTATATGGACACCCCAAATGTCAGAGACCAAAATTTAAAAAAAGAACACTGCCACTCTTTGACACAGAACTAATTTTAGTTCAGTGACATAGGCAGAAAATGTTAACCTATGAAAATAAATATATAATTTGAATTTTGACAAACAAACTTATTTAGTTAATTAAATCCCAAAGTTATTTACTTAATTCAAACAAAATTGTAAAAGCCAAACATACCCAAGAATGAACTGTTTCTATAAGGTAAGTTTAGTAGGATTACTTCCTTTTAATAATATTTATATTGAAAATTATCATAGTATTTACCCTATGAAAATCTAAATGCTACAGCACTCGCACTCGCACTCGCACTCGCACTCGCACTCGCACTCGCACTCGCACTCGCACTCGCACTCGCACTCGCACTCGCACTCGCACTCGCACTCGCACTCGCACTCGCACTCGCACTCGCACTCGCACTCGCACTCGCACTCGCACTCGCACTCGCACTCGCACTCGCACTCGCACTCGCACTCGCACTCGCACTCGCACTCGCACTCGCACTCGCACTCGCACTCGCACTCGCACTCGCACTCGCACTCGCACTCGCACTCGCACTCGCACTCGCACTCGCACTCGCACTCGCACTCGCACTCGCACTCGCACTCGCACTCGCACTCGCACTCGCACTCGCACTCGCACTCGCACTCGCACTCGCACTCGCACTCGCACTCGCACTCGCACTCGCACACCACACACACACACACACACACACACACACACACACACACACACACACACACACACACACACACACACACACACACACACACACACACACACACACACACACACACACACACACACACATCATCGCGAAAATAGTCAAAACGGATTCAGGGGACCTCAAAACGTAAAAATCCGTCGAAAACTCGAGGTCGAAAACTCGAGGTCGAAAAAAAATCATGATTCCTATACTTTCCTTATATCTGTATACAGATAGGAAAGTAAAAAGGAAGTTTATATAAATGGGTATTATCAGGTTAAATAAATAATAACCCAAGATGAACGTCCACTGGACGTCAAAATAATACTAAACTTAAAATTAAGTCCAAAAACAGATGTCCTATGGACTTCGAAATGCAGCTGTTAAATTAATGTTCGTAAACGGACGTACACTGGATGTCCGAATACGAATATGGATGTTCTGACCCTCAAATGGATCTAAAATGGACGTCCATTGGACTCTATGTGCTGTCTGGGTAGTGTCAATTTTATTTTGTCAAGTTGGTTGCACTTCCTTTGTATAGAAGTCCTCTATTGTATTCAAATTATTTTAACCTTGTATTTATAAATCAAACAACAATTTTCAGTAATTTTATTAAGTTTATTTTACAAAAACTAATGATGTATTCGTTTAGATTTTAGATATTTCATTTCTGATTGGGGTTTAACAGCAGTTTTCGGATTTTTAGGTATCGCTTCGGGTTTTGAATGTTTTAAAGCTTGATTCGAATTCAACTTTAAACCTGCTGCCTCCTGACTATTTGAATTTTCCAATTTGAGATCGGTTTTGGAATTTTGTACCGGTTCGGTTTTCATCTCAAGTTTTGAAGTTAGCGACTTCATTGCCGTCTTGGAAATTGTTAGTATTCCAGATTGATCGTTCGTTTGCCGATGCCTTTTAATAGCTTGTGGTGGTACATCAACGTAACAATAATCATTTTCGGTTCTTTCATTCGAATCGGAACGTTCGTCTGTTTTAAAATCGCTCTTGAGGCGAACGGTTTGTTTAAAAACGCACTAAAACAATATGGTTAAATGGATTAAACAAGGCTAAAATCATGAAATGTAAAAGAACTTATTATGGATTTTCCATAATGTAATATTGGTGCTAGTTATATACAAAGTATTCCTGAAAAGTCTGTACAGAACACCAGGGCCGACTAGAGGGGAGGGTAGCCGGGACTAATTCCCGGGGCCCGGACTCAAATGGGGGCCCGGTAGTGGTATAAGGGGGGCCCGGGAACAGGATTTTTTTTTGTTTTGTATCAGAAGTTCGAGAGAAGACAAGAGGGGAAAAGCAATTAAAGTAGAGGAGGAAAAGTTTTAGCTTGAAGACTTTTTTTTAGGAAAATCCAATTCAAGTAGAAAAGGAAAAGTTTTTGTTTGAGGAGCTTTTTTTTGTCACGGGGCCCGATCTAGAGAATTGTTATGGGGCCCGGCCTGGCTCTGGGCGGCCCTGCAGAACACTAGCACAAATCATTAGTCTAAAATATAGGAATCTGGCCCAATTTACCGCAGAAAAAAAGATGATAGTTTCCAAATAAGAGTGTCAAAGTTATAATTTTTTTAAACTTTGTTTTATATAGTATTAGCACAAGAATAAATAATAACCAGTATATCTCTCATTTAATTCCATTGTAGTTAATGCTGACGAGGTATGACCTCGTCTTTTAGTTATTACTTGTATTCCATAGGCACGCACACACACACACACGCCCACACACACACACACACACACACACACACACACACACACACACACACACACACACACACACACACACACACACACACACACACACACACACACACACACACACACACACACACACACACACACACACACACACACACACACACACACACACACACACACACACACACACACACACACACACACACACACACACACACACACACACACACACACACACACACACACACACACACACACACACACACACACACACACACACACACACACACACACACACACACACACACACACACACACACACACACACACACACACACACACACACACACACACACACACACACACACACACACACACACACACACACACACACACACACACACACACACACACACACACACACACACACACACACACACACACACACACACACACACACACACACACACACACACACACACACACACACACACACACACACACACACACACACACACACACACACACACACACACACACACACACACACACACACACACACACACACACACACACACACACACACACACACACACACACACACACACACACACACACACACACACACACACACACACACACACACACACACACACACACACACACACACACACACACACACACACACACACACACACACACACACACACACACACACACACACACACACACACACACACACACACACACACACACACACACACACACACACACACACACACACACACACACACACACACACACACACACACACACACACACACACACACACACACACACACACACACACACACACACACACACACACACACACACACACACACACACACACACACACACACACACACACACACACACACACACACACACACACACACACACACACACACACACACACACACACACACACACACACACACACACACACACACACACACACACACACACACACACACACACACACACACACACACACACACACACACACACACACACACACACACACACACACACACACACACACACACACACACACACACACACACACACACACACACACACACACACACACACACACACACACACACACACACACACACACACACACACACGAAATCTCATCTGTGTAATGGGGGACGCCGAAAAACGAGTGCTACATGCGTAGCGCTCTTAACACGCGGGAAATTTAAATAAAAAGAAAGTGTCACAATTACGCGGCTGTCACAAATAAGAGAATGTACTGTATACTGTGATATTCTAATATAACATAACTTAAATAGAGTATTTAATTATGTGTTGGGAATAAAATTCAACCTTTCTAATCTAACCTTAATATTCACATCTTCAAGCACATTAGTATACACACTGACAGCCATTTTCTCATTTACAACTACTGTAAGAGACCTAAGTGATAGCTTGGATGACTCTTTAGGGAAAAAGTTATACTAATAATTATTGTACTAATACATTTTTATTATTATTTATAAATTACTGTTAAAACCTAATTGGTCTGAAAAGAAAATTTTTTTAAGATAGAACAGATTCACCACCCGAGTCTGCGCTAGTAATTCTCTAATTTAAAATATTTTTTTAGCATTTGAAAGTTAATCACTTGTTATTTTAGGTAAGGATCTGGCTTTTAATGATGCTCTAAATGCATTGTTCGTGAGAATGGAAGGTACTTGGAGGTCCCGTTATCCCAATATTCATCCTAACATGACCAAAAAGCCCGAAATCAATCACTTAAATTCAATTCTGGCTCTTGCTAATGTCATTTTAGCCGAATTAAGTAAAAAGAGAGAAATAATAGTGGATGTTCCGGTTATAACGCGTTTTTCACTATGGTAAAAACTTTTCTATTAAATCTATTTTTAATTAAAAAAAAACATCAGTGTGTACAAATGATTTTTTTACAATAAGGTGAGTCCTTTTGGTTGACAAAGCTATTATATATCGGCCTCGTTTCATAAATAATTTTTGTACAGTCTTTTTTAGAGGCTAAAAAAGCAACACACCCTTCCTCATCCCCGTTACCAGTGTTCGTGCATCACAGGTATAACCAGCCACGGTAAATTCAAATTAGATCCAACGCATCAATAAAAATATGAAAAAGAATACATTTAACATGCAGTTTTATCCAAATAATACATAATATAAAATTAAATATAACATTCGGTTATTTTTATAACCTACGATTTTTACCTAAAATATCCTGTATTATGTATATAAATTCGATTATGAGTTTCGATCAATATACCAATTATAATATTGAATAATATTTATGACATGAGTTATGGGTCATGGACTAATAAATTAGACAAATGATATAGGTTTCATAGGAAAAATATGAATTTTGCAGTCGTTTTTTAGTTTTTACTTCTGGGTTCCGGGAACAGAACTGTGCAACAAAGCCACATAATAGTAAATGAGATACTTAAAAGTATTGAAGAAAATAAAGTATGCACTGCTGCTTTCCTAGATGTTGAGCAAGCTTTTGATAGAGTTTATAAAAATTTATACTTACTCTTCCTACACCCCATTACCCTTTATTTAACATTCACTGCCAATATTCCAATAACCACCGAAACTGCCACGTTTGCGGATGATACTATCATCATATCTGCAAACGAAAATCCTTAAACAGCAACTCAAAATCTGCAAAATTAACTCCAAAACTTGACCAATCGCTGGCGAGTAAAAGTAAACCAAGCGAAATCAGTCCAAATAACGTTGACTAATCGAAGTGTTAATTTCCCCAAAGTTACAATAAACAACATACAGTTACCAGTAAAGCAAGATATCAAATATCTTGGTCTAACCCTTGACCAGAGATTAACATATGGCCCTTTGAAAATCTCAGGTGTGCAAGCCTGCAATAGGTGGTACAAAATAGCCGGAAAAATCTTTAATAACCAGACAGGAAAATCATGTTAGATTTTTTAAATTATTTTAAACCGAGTGTTACGTTTTTATTTCGGTTTAATTTTTAATGTTTCACATAGCCGTAGAAAATATGCTGTCGGACGAATTAGGAAAATAATTTTTGTTTTATTTTCAGGAATATCAAATATTTATTTCATTATGTGGGGCTGATTATAAGATGGGGATTTGCAAGAAATAATCTATTTACTTGTGTAATGTGCATGATGGACCTTTTTCAGAATATTGACTTTATCACAAGTGGTCTAGGAGAAGGTAACTACTATTTTTTTAATTTAATATAATATTTGTAATAAGTTATTATTAATAATAAGACAGGCCGTGACAATATGATCGAATAATTAACTAAAACAGATAGAAATCGAAATGAGACACTGCCTTGATAGTTCCACAATCATAAAACTGCAAAACTAACGTCAGGATCCTCAACTTATATAGCTTCTCGAAACTTCTCGAACTGTCTAGATTTTTATTGACAAATAATGGCATTTCCAGATACTTCTGGACTATTCTATCTTCTTCTTTTAGTCGTACTTTTACTTATGATGACCGCAGCACACTGTAGGGTGATGGGTGATACTGCACTTCTTTTTGTATTCGTAAGTTTTCTATAAGCCGCAGGCTAATTCAGGGTGCAGGGTAACAATGTTAAGGTGATAATGATTTCTTTAAGCTCATGTATTGGTTCGGCATAATTTCATCATTTATTAAACAAAGCTAATAATACCTATTTTGCATTAGCAGTTAAATTTTTTAAGCATATTATAACTAAATAAGTGTAAAACATTTAAGAGCATGATTCCTCATCGAAAAAAAGATAGGATCTTTCATATAAAGAAACTTCATTGGAGCATCCCTTGTTAAGATACAGCCCCTTAAAGGGGGTACATAAAATTTGTTTAACAATTTTTTTCACAAGCACTAAACAAGTTTCAATATTGAAATTAACCTGACATTTTCTACTACCAAAAAGACACTTAGCCAGTAATTTAGTTGGTTTACCCCATGGTTGTGAGGGGTGGAAAACGCAACCACGAAAATTTCGTTTCAACGTAACTTTTTGTCTTATTATTTGTTTACCATTTAAAAATTTATTTCCGATAGCTTGTTTCATTCTAAACAAAAAATGTCTCTTGAATTTTTTGCCCAAAATAAATCAGTTCACAGCAAAAAATTATTTTACGAACAAGATAGATATCGCCATAAAACGAAAATACGAAACTAATTTATTTAGTAGGCCGCTATTAGCGATACTGACAATTACATTGAAATCAAGCTGTCAGTTTGTAAATTTTTGAAATTGAAGTAATACTAATTGTGTATTGTTTTTCTGTTCGTAATTTGTTACTTTAATAATTCACTTGTTATTAAAATGGCACACACAAATGAGGAAATGGCTGATATGCATTACGTTTACGGTTTGTCGCAGGGGAATGGGTTAGCTTCTAGAAGATATGCTGAAATGTATCCTCAACGGCGGCATCTTTCACATATATTTGCCCGACTTCATCAACGATTACGAGAATATGGTTCATTCAACAAAAGAACGCACGATTGTGGTCGCCATCGAGAAGTAAGAACACCACAGCTTGAGGAAGCACTACTTAATTTTATTGAAGAACAAACTACTACCAGTACTGGAAAGATTGCTTTCCAGCTAAATGTTGATCATCTGACGGTAATTCGAATTTTAAAGGAACATCTCTTATACCCTTACCATCTGCAACGAGTACAGGCACTGTTACCGCGAGACTTTCCGAACCGTCTTAAATTTTGCAATTGAATGCTGGAAATGATTAGAAGAAATCGTGACTTTCTGAAGACGATCGAATTCACAGACGAATGTAGTTTTTCTCGGGACACGATTATTAATTTTCATAATTACCACATATGAGCTGATAAAAACCATCACGCTATTGTCGAAACTCACCATCAAGAACACTTTTCTCTTAACTTGTGCCCACAAGTTATTGGTGATTATTTAATTGGGATTCATTTTCTACCTCCTCGATTAAATGGTAAGGCAAACGTTCAATTTTTAAGAGAAGTGCATCCCGTACTGCTGGAGGAAGTCCCTTTGGGCGTCAGAAGGGATGTTTTTTATGCATGATGGGGCTCCCGCCCATTTTAGTCAAGTAGCACGTCAGCATTTAACTCAAACCTATGCAAATCAATGGATAGGTCGAGGAGGACCACAGAATTGGCCCGCTCGATCCCCGGATCTCAATCCTCTCGATTTCTCTACTTGGGGCCATTTGCAGCATTTAATTTATCGTACTCCTGTTTTCGATGTAGAGAACTTAAGAAACCGCATCATCGATGCGTGCAGGGTAATTAGAGAGACTCCAGGATTATTTGAGTGAATTCGTGGCTCAATGCGCCGACGTTAGACGCATGCGTAATGTCTGAAGGTAGACATATTGAACATTTACTATGATTTCTACATGTTTTATGTTTTGTTATTAATAAATTAGTTTTGATTATTCCCCTTTTTAATCATTTCATGCAGGTAGTAACTACAAAATAACAATTAATCCAGTACGCATTTATGACGATGTATCTCTGTAGTTGTTCGTAAAATAATTTTTTGCTGCGAACTGGTTTATTTTGGGCAAAACATTCTAGAGACATTTTTTGTTTAGAATGAAACAGGCTATCGGAAATAAAATTTTAAATGGTAAACAAATAATAAGACAAAAAGTTACGTTAGAACGAAATTTTAGGGGTTGAGTTTTCCACCCCTTACAATCATGAGGTAAACCAAATAAATTACTGGCTAAGTGTCTTTTTGGTAGTAGAAAGTAATAATAATAATAATAATAATAATAATAATAATAAAACGTCTTTATTTGTACTATAACAAATAAATACATGAGTACATTGCGGGGCGAGATTTAGCCTGAGGCTATTCTTCCACCTAACCCCTTCATTAAATATATGATAAAGAGTTTTTATAAAATACATTAAAGAGATAAAATAGATACTTCAATTACATAAAAATATATGAAATACAATAAAATTCAATAAAATTCAATAAAATTAAATAAAATTCAATAAAATTCAATAAAATTCAATAAAATTCAATAAAATTCAATAAAATTCAATAAAATTCAATAAAATTCAATAAAATTCAATAAAATTCAATAAAATTCAATAAAATTCAATAAAATTCAATAAAATTCAATAAAATTCAATAAAATTCAATAAAATTCAATAAAATTCAATAAAATTCAATAAAATTCAATAAAATTCAATAAAATTCAATAAAATTCAATAAAATTCAATAAAATTCAATAAAATTCAATAAAATTCAATAAAATTCAATAAAATTCAATAAAATTCAATAAAATACAATAAAAACAATAAAATTCAATAAAATTCAATAAAATACAATAAAAACAATAAAATACAATAAAATAAATAAAAAGAAAACAGCAAAACTATTATAAAAGAAAATTTTTTACAATTTTAAAATTTTTAAAACTTTTACTGGCCTTGTTGGTGGAGTAGGTCATTCTTTACCTTGCGCTTAAATGTACCAGACTGTAAACTTTTTATATTAATTCTCAACGAATTGAAGTGTTTGACGGCATTGTATATGAAACTCCTTTGAAAAAGGGAAGTAGTATGTCTAGGCATAGACAATGTCATTTGCCTTCTAATATTTAGATTGTGTAGCTGTGTTCGATAGATCAACTTGTTGTTAAGGTATTCAGGACCAGATGAGTTTATTAGATTATGGACAAAAGCAAGTAAATAATAGATATATAAATTTTTTATATTTAACCATTCCAGTTCCATGAACGACTCTGAAATATGATCATATTTATGAAGACCATAAATGAACCTGCAGCAAGTATTTTGAACTTTTTGAATGCGATTTGCTGTGACGTCAAGACAAGGGTAATAGACAATAGCACAATAACTGAGTTTACTTATAATAAACGTTTCACATAGATATTTCTTCATTTTCCTGTTAAGTATAAACTTATTCGCATAAAGAAGTTTTAAACGATGGTAGCATTGGCTAATTAAAACATTTACATGTTCTACAAATTTTAAGTTTTCGTCCATAATCAAGCCAAGATTTTTTCCACAGTTTACAATGGGTATGAGTTCATTATTAATGGTAAGACTCAAGTTGTTTTTATATTTTGTCTGTAACTATGTGGGCTAAAAATTAATAATTTAGACTTAGATGGATTAATACGAAGATTATGTTTTAAGCAATACTCATTTATGTTGGAAAGATCTCGATTCATTATGGTCTTAGCTCTAACTACATCTTGTGGCTTGAAGCGGTGTACAATTTGGGTATCATCAGCAAAAAACTGCAAACTGCTTGACTCCACATTTAGTTCTAAGTCTGAAGTGTAAATTAAAAATAGCAAGGGTCCCAAAACCGATCCTTGGGGAACACCTGATTCGATTTCTCTAAGAGTTGAGGACTGTTGATTGATTACAACTTTTTGAAAGCGATTTTTTAAATACGTTTTAATGAATAAGAGAGGTTTGTCAGTAAATCCATAATAGCTGCATTTAGAAATTAAGAGTAGATGATTTATTGTGTCGAAAGCTTTGGTAAAGTCGAGCAGAGCAAGTGCTGTTGCTTCTTTACTATCTAGGGCTGTAATAATGGTATCTGTTAGATGGCAAAGAGCTGTGGTTGTACTATGTTTTTTGCGAAAACCTGATTGGTGAACCGGCAATAAATTGTTGACACTAACATATTTATAAATCTGATCGTATACAATTTTCTCAAGAACTTTGGATAAAATGGGAAGTAGGCTTATTGGTCTTAATTCAGTATGAGAAATAGGGTTCGCAATTTTTGGAAGAGGTATTACTACTGCTCTTTTCCATTGATCTGGAAAGCAGCCAGTTTCTAGGCAGCAATTTATAATATGGGTCAAATACAACGATATTGCCGGTAAGCAAAGTTTAATCATTTGAAGAGTAATTCCGTCAGAACCACCCGAATTTGACGCAATACTATTTATTACCCTAATTATAGTATCTTCATTAACAAGTGTAAACTCAAGTTTTAAGGAATTATTAACGCGATTAGTTCGGTAGTGTAATATTTTTTCAGCACAAGCTTCATTACTATTTTGAAAAATAGAAATAAAAGTATCATTTATTTTGTAAGGATCTGCTAAGTTAGAGGGGATATATTTATCTTTATTACTCTGTATACCCATATCCTTTAATGTTTTGAAAAATTTAGATTTATTTTGTTTGTTTACTAATATTTC